GATACTTGCATGTAATTATGCATAATTTATTGTTATTATAATAGTAAGTAAGTACATGTAACGTGTAACAAGGACACCATAAAATAAAGTGTTACCAAAAACTCTTACACCTTTGACCAGTGAATTTCAATGTTTTTCTATAATTTTCCATAAGGGTTTATTTTTTTAATTCTTACCAACTCTTGCTGTGTGTCCCTCCAAGGCAAACAGCTTTTTGCCGGCGGTAGCATCCCAAATTTGTACAAAGCCTTTGTGTGTACCCACAGCGACAAGATTGCCCTATGAGAGAAGAACGGTCAGACCACAAAACCAGAAAGCAACTTCTGATAGTCCAAGTCATAAAGGTTAACTCACTCTCTCCGACCAGCCCACCGATGTGACTGAATCGCCCTCCACTGATAGGTCACATAGTCGCGTTACCTGCGGACAAAGCAAAGAAAAAAAACACACAACTTAGTCCAAGTGTTCACTAGGTATTTACTGCCTCTAAATTTGCATAAACAGCTAATGCATACTTGACTGGTGCAGGCACTCCAAAGGTAAACACAAGTCCCCAGTCCAACACTGAGCACATTTAAAGAAGACCAGTCCACTAAGTTGAGGTAGAAGTCGTCTTGTAGCTCTGGTGCATCTAGCACCTTAAAAGGAATCTTGGAAATTTTGCGCGTAGGTTTTCTTGGCGACCGCAGAAGCTTCTGGCTATAAACAAAAACATGCATGCAATTAAAACAATGCATTTTACTAATCAATCACATTTTTCAGGAGACGACTCAACTTACCTTTTGCTGCTAACAGGGGAGAGGGAGTATGGGGAAACACTGTTATCATCGGGTGTGGATCTTTTGGCACTGAGTGAATACTGTACATACAAACACAAAGTAAGCACTGAAAACACAGATCAAAACACTTATGTGGCATCAAATGAACAGATCAGCGAATAAGAGAGACTTACACTAAAGAGGCTCCTCCTCTCGGGTGTGGAGGGCTGTAGTCGTCTATCTTCTGTTTGAGGATCCAGAACCTTCTCAATCCCAGCCCCAAGCAACTCATTCTTCAGCAGGGCAGAATACGCCAAGCCGTCAGCTGTCAGACAACACAGTAAACAAGGCAAATTATTACAATGAAAGAGAGTTGAGTATCATATTTGAGAATATGATCCATCAAAAATGAGGTTCATTTAAAGCATAGTCTGTCTCTCTCCATAAAAAAGATACCATAACAGCTTTATTAATGCAGGTAAAATCAACACAATCCTCTTCACACTCACCTTTGCCAGTATCTGATGTTGCGTCTTTGGTTTTTTTATTCTGGCTTGGTGACTTTTCATTTTCCTGTAATAAGAGTAAAGAAAAATGAACTTGACATTACACATTCCTTTAATTCAAATCAAATGGAAGCAACGTGGAAGCTCCATTACTAGTATTTAAAATATATATATATATTCCACCCACATTTATTCTGTGGAAGTTGATGCTCGGGACTGAGTTAAACGTTGACGTCGTGACATTTGAAACAAAACAAAAATGTTATGTTTTTAAAAGGGAAAAGACAAACTTCAATTTTTTTTTTGTACGGAGAAAAATACTATCAAGCATTTGGTTAAAAAAGTTCATACTATATATTATGGAAAATATTGTGCATTTAATTTTTACATTTAGTTAAAATAGTAATACTATATCCAAAATGTTGATTAAAAGACTCACAAGTACATAGCGTAAATAAATAAATAAATACTTGCGTAATTATTATTGCATTTAATTATACTTAAGTGTTTTGACGTAAAAAAAAAAAAAAAAAGTAAACACTTTTCTTAGCTATTTAAGCAAGAGACAGTCGTGATTCTCCCATTTTAGTATTTAGATGCAGAAACTTTGTAAAGAATACGCTACTTACACTAAAAATATATTTGGCTGTTTAATTCAAAGAAAAGTTAAACTTATATGAGCATGGTTGATTGAAATTTTAGTTTGTAAATCATTAACAAAAGTTTAAGTTGTGATTACTGATGTATTTTGTCTCTAAATATTGAAATAGAGTAAAATCTTCTTTTTATTTTTGCCCTTATAAATGTAACTGAGTAATAGTACACGTATTATGTTTTAACAGAACTTAAATAAAGCACAAATTCCCCAAAATAATATCTAAGTGTATAGTAGTGAAGTAACTACTACTACTCAAATACTTTACATTTCTTGTTTCTTTGTACAAAAAAGAGGAAAGAGATAAGAGGAGGAAAGAGATAAGAGAAGAGATGCCACGTACATCAAATGGTAAATTATTGAAAGCCATTGAGTCATGGAGTCAGTCATAAAACTATATTATATTTATATTTTCTTTTCCATTGCTCTAAAACAAACTTTTATTTTGACAAGAACACGTGAGACCGGAAGTGGAGTGGGGCGTCATGGCGAAGGAAAGACGCCGTGGCGGGTTTGGCGATGACTGTGGTGTGAATGAAGAGAATGACGGAAGTAGCATAGAAGAAGAAGATGATTTTGCAGATTTGAATTGTGGAGAGTGGAATCAGGTAGAGCTGACATCTCAGAAACGGAAAGACAGTTGGTTCGCAACCCGCCATAAAACCAAAAGAAGAAGAAGAAGACCGGAAGTGGCCATCCTTAGCGCACCGCAGTTCATGGCCGACTTGGGAGCATGTTTGTTGTGCTTCTGCATGACACGAGTGAGACAGTTCCTTGCATGGACGGCATGGAGAGCACTGTATGACAAAAAAACAACAACAACATCTCCGCTTGTAGTAAGTTCAATATTCAGATAATTCAGCGACTGTAACGAATCAGATTGTGAACTCGGTTAGCGTCATTCTGTCTTAACTCTAATGTTTTCAAACCCGTCATTCTGCCGGTGCTGTGCCGAATTCTGCACCGGCTGCATAACACACTTACACACAGCTGACAGAGAACCGCGTGTGTACTGCTGGCACAGAGATGGCAATGTCCAGGCCTTTTCTTCCATAGTGCAACACCGTGACTCTTTAAACCCATATTGACCTGTCTTTCTAGACGATAGTACTATATTATAGAACGAGCACAAAAAGTAGCAAAAATGTGTACAATTGAACATACTGAATGAGTAATCTTTTTCTGACACGTGCATCATCATGTATGTGTAACGTAATAAATATCCGAGGCAAAAATTCCCGTTTTCTTGTCCACACTGACACAGCTACTCAGATATTGTAGAGGAAAGTCTCTTGGCATTACTATGGTAACCGATGGTGCCAACCATTCGTGAATGATTCGGATCTTTTCAGTGAAACTGGTTCTCAAAACCAGTATGAACGATTCGTTTACGTACCGTCTCTTAATACACGAGTTTCACAATTTCAGTTGAATTACTGAAATAAATGAACTTTTCCACGACATTCTAATTTATTGAGATGCACCTGTATTCTTTACATTCATTCAAAAAAACTCATTCTGAAAATATAAAGCAATACGCAAATTTCTGCCATACATTTTAATTTTCTGTTAATATAAGCTTCTAAATTCTTTAAAAATAATCTTGAGTAAATCAGGATCTCATCATAAAGTAAAATAATTGCTTAGTTTGAATTGGTTCATTAAAAACCGATTTGCAGTAATGAGACTAGTAACCAATATATTGGTTATTGATTTCCCCTATTCAAACAGTTGACAAGCAAAACAGTAAGTCCTAAAGATTGTATTTGTTTGTAGTCTATGAAGGCCAAAAAATGCTGTCTAAGTAGCAGCTCACAAGGTTTTGAATCATCATATGAGTCATGAGTCATTTCATTACTTAGTTATTATGAAGCATGTGGTCAAACTTTTGTTGTTTGTAAATGTAGGTTCTGTAGATATGCTGCTCTCTGGAGTACTCAGTTTAACCTGTGCATAAGGACATCATCCTGATACTGAAAGCTTCCTCATGGCAAATCATGCGGATATATCAGCGGTGGGGAGGATTCTCGTCAACCCAAAGCAGGACCTGACAAAGCGCTTTAGAGCACTTTTTACTCTCCGCAACCTTGGTGGACCAGAGGCCATTACATGGATCAGTGAAGCTTTTGTGGATGAATCTGCACTTCTGAAGCATGAACTGGCATACTGCCTCGGCCAAATGCAAGATGAGCGGGCCATTCCTATCCTGGAGACGGTCCTGAAAGACACTAATCAAGAGCCAATGGTCAGACATGAAGCAGGTGAGATGTACAGTCATATTCTTCCTTCTTATTTTCCTTTTTTTGTTTTTAGGTATGTCATATACAGTGTTTTTATTATATTTTAAATTCCAGGAGAAGCACTGGGAGCCATTGGAAATCCCAAAGTCTTAGATTTATTGAAGAAATATGCAGAAGATCCAGTAATTGAGGTAGAGTCAACCCGTATCACCAAACTATTCACCCATTCATTGTTACACTAACGCTAGAATGTCCTGCTGTGCATTTCGATTATGCTCAAAGTTCAGGTTTTACATGAATTCTCTCTTTGTACAGGTGGCAGAAACATGTCAGCTGGCAGTCCGGAGGCTGGAGTGGCTCATGAATGATGGGGAAAAGACAGCAGAGGGGACAGATGAGAACCCCTACTGCTCCGTAGACCCCGCGCCCCCTGCCCCAAGAAAAACTGTCCCGGAACTGAGGGCACAGCTCTTAGACGAAAGCCTGTCGCTGTTTGACCGCTATAGAGCTATGTTTGCACTGAGGAATCTTGGGACTGAAGAGGCTGTTCTGGTTCTTGGAGATGGTGAGAAAGATTTAAATTGAGATCTATCCAAACACAATGTAGACGCAATACTAGATAAATAACAAAATAACGTAAATAACAATGCATGTATTTGATAAAAAAAATACAGTAAAAGCAGTAGTATTGTGAAGTATTATTACAATTTAAATGAACTGTTTATGAACTTTTAATTTATTTTAAAATGTGATTTATTGCTGAGATGGCAAAGCTGAATTTTCTGCTGAATTTACTTCAGTCAGTGTTACATGATCATTCAGAAATCATTCTAATATGCTGATTTGTTGCTCAAGAAACATTTTTTTTATATTATCAGTATTGAAAACAGTTGTGTTGCCTAATATTTTTGTGGAGACATTTTTTCAGGATTTTTTTAAAAATCGAAATCTTTTGTAACCTTATAAACTGCCACGCGTCATCAATTTAATGCATCCTTCTTAAATAAAGATATTATTTTCTTAAAAAATGTATTTTAGGTCTTCAATGCAGCAGTGCCTTGTTCCGCCATGAGATCGGCTACGTCTTGGGTCAGATCCAGCACGAGGCCAGCATCCCTCAGCTGCAGGCAGCTTTGGAGAAGACCGATGAGAACGCCATGGTCAGACACGAGTGCGCAGAAGCACTGGGCTCCATCGGGAAGGAGGCGTGCTTACAGATCCTAGAGCGCTACAGGAAGGACCAGGAGCGGGTGGTGAAGGAGAGCTGTGAGGTGGCACTGGACATGCTGGAGTATGAGAACAGCTTGCAGTTCCAGTACGCTGTTCCAGACGGACTGCTTAGACTGCATAGCGCTTAGTGAAACACATTTCCTAAAACATGTTAATGTTACACAGCTGATCCATATTTCAAACTCAAGTGAAAGCATTTTGAATGCTTGAACATTTAATAAACACTTAATCAATAAACAATTTTTGCAGATACAGCAAAAAAATAAAATCCTCCCTTGAAAAAACAGGAATACATTTACATAATAAAAGCATTTATTTGACCACATATACTTATGTCTTATTCTGCCTTTAAGCTTTAACATTTTGCGTCATGAATATTTTTGATGTCGCTAATTAAGTTTCTAATCTCCAGTAAAGTCTGTGACTAATGTTAAATCCTCCATGCATGAGCAGAGGTGATTAGCAGAGCTAAGAGCGCTAGTGCTAGTCTGAGATCTATAACGGTACGTTCTGCCTAATTAATCCACACAGCAGTCTATCTCACTCAATAAGATTCATCTTTAAAGAAGCACACATGGAATTAAAATCCAAATGATCTAATTCTTAAGTGATCATCCCTATCTAGCATATCAGAAAATTAGCTTTAAACAAACAGAAATGAGAAGCATTGCATTCTGATCACTCTTGTATATTTGTATAAAACAATAAATCGGCAACCTTAAAAAACTAATTTGCCCTGTTATGAGTTTAGTAGATGAAAGTACAAGTGCACTGCTAATTTACTGATGATAGTGTGGATGGAGGGTGACAAACCTGGAATGTTGTGCTCAGCAAAGTCTCTGAGGATATTTAAGCCCTCATTTGAGTTTGGGGGGAGGAGAGATGACCACGTTCTGAAGAAAAGGCTGGACCAAACCGCAGAAAAAGGCTAAAAGTAACACAAAGCAGAGAAACTCTGTAGATGGCAGTTAGGGAGAAACTTGCAAACATGCTACACCCCTTCATGATTGGTATTGTCACAATTAATACCTCCATCACCACTGCATACTGGATCTTCATTTTGACAGAAGCCTTTCACAAGAAGACTGATGATGAAGCCAAAAAAGACAACCCTGCTTAGCCAACGCACCCTTAATATAGTTACGTGTAGAGAAGGTTAGAGTAGAGCTTCTTTTGTGTCTTATATTTTTATTTAATAATGTAGATAACTTGAGGGGGAAAAGATCTCGCCATTTGAATAATCTGACTTGAGCAAGTATTTCATGATTCCAGCTTTTCAGGAACTGTTTTACTTTCAGGTAACTACATTTAAAAAAAAAAAAGTTTGTTCTGCTGTTTCATATTTTTGTTAACATTTTCATTTTTATTGTTTTCTAAGTTATTTTGTGTTTCATGAATGTTTTCCTTTTTGAAAAGTCATTAAATCACCTCAACAGATTTGAAAAACATGCTACTGCTTCATGCTACACTTCAAAAGTTGATGTCGGTAAGTCTCTTATGCTCATCAAGGCTGCATTCATTAATTAAAAAATACAGTAAAAACAGTAATATTGTGAAATATTAAAATTTAAAACAACTTTCCATGTTAACATTTTTTAAACATATTTTAAAGCCAATACTCCGGTCTTTAGTGACCTTTCAGAAATCATTCTAATATGCTGATTTGGTGCTTAAGTAGCATTTCTTATTATCATATTATTTCATTGTTTTCTAGATTCTTTGATGAATAGAAAGACTTTTGTAACAATTTTTCAATGTCACCTTTGATCAATTCAATGCATCCTTGCTGAATAAGTGATTAAAAAAAATGATAGTGAACGGTAGTAAATTCTATGGATTTTTTTATTTATTTAGATTAGATCCTTTTAATTTTAGATAAGTATTCCATTAAGAAAAAAATCATTGTAAATACACAAAAGGTTCTAATTCAGTGGAGTAAAGTCTTGATAACTAGCCCTTTATACCTTTCATAATCTGTGTAACAAGCATGGAGAAATGAGCATTAGAGATGGGCAGGGAGATGAATAATATAGATCAGATATGACTCATAGGATCAGATCTGTCTGAATCACTGACTCAACCACACAAAAGCTCTTCCTCTGTCAGTCATTCAGTCAGACAGACAGAGACTCTGAGAGAGTTTGTGCAGCATCAGCCTCTGGAAGAACAACACCGCAGCTGAAATTAGACATGCATCCCATATTGATCAGCATAGTGGCAGCCAACACAAGTTTAACTATTGTCTACTGGAACTTTCTTCTGTCTCAGGTTTTCTGCAAGAAGATCAAAGATGCACCGCAACCTGAGGAAATTCCTGTCTGAGTGAGTATTATTATTATGAGTCGTTGGACTATTACTCTTACAAGATAATTTGCTGAATCCTGCACTGTAAAACAACAGTTTCAGCGCCAAGTCTCATTACTGTACTGTGGATGTCTTTGATTTTATGTTATTATTTACTTTGACAGTAAGGAATTTTATGACTTAAATGATTGAAGGTTGTGAGAAAAGGAATTTGAGTTGGGGGGGAAAAGAGAAAAAAAGTCCTAATGAAGAGAACAAACACTGTTCCCATCTTCACAAATCTCAAAAACAGGACACAAAAAATCGAAAGTGACAGTAAAGACATTTACAATGTACTAAAGTTCTTTAATCAGCATCATTTTCAACACTGATAATACGAAATGTTTCTTAAGCATCAAATCAGCATTTTTGAATGATTTCTAAAGGATCGTGTGACACTGAAGACTGGATTAATGGCTACATTTAAACTACATTTTAAAATATATTAATAGTAAATAAAAAATTGCGATAATATTTCACAATATTACTGTTTTTACTGTATTCCTGATCAAATAAATGCAGCCTTGGTGAGCATAAGGGACATTAAAATATACTGACCAAAGTTTTGAATGTTAAGTTGTAGGAAGTTGTGTCACAACTGACAACAATTAAGGCTTATAGCCTTTCACTGACAGAAAGGTGATACTGTCTTACAGGCCTGTAAAAATTCTATTTCTGATCTATCTGATAGTGCACTTGCTGAGATCTTTTTGCTCCATCCCTTGCTTTAGCTCAGATGTTGCTTTATCAATCCATTCTCATACACTGTAAATAAAACCAATTGGATTAATTATGGCACAGTATACCGTTTCTGTTTTAGTATAACCTATTCTTGATGTATAATGTAATTTAAAAACCTTTTTAAAATGTAAAAACACACCCACTCCCTCTTGAGAGTGAACAGGAGCATCTCAGACGGGATTAGGTGGATTACTGTATAGCTAACCCTTGATTAAAAGCTTTCACCTTCATGAAAGACAGCTGCCATTACCAGCAATGTAATATCAGAGTCAGCGAGATGTCAGCCAAAGGATTAAGCCTGGGATTAAGAGAATCATATCAGGCTACTTCAGAGCACATTCACTGGCCTTTACCACAGAATAATGAACTCTGGTCATAATTAGCACGTATGGCTACATTTGAAAACATTACATTTCCTTTTACACACAGGTGGAGGCCTTGGTCATGATCCTGACGATGAAGAGGAAGAAGAAGAACCACCAAAACTGATCTTTGGGAAGGAAGTAGGGATGAGGGAGAGAAAATAAGAACAAAGGAGGAACAGACTGCCATTTGACCCAGAAGTGGACGGATAGAAATTCTGCCAGGATTTAAGTCTTCTGTATTTGAAAAATCATGGGGTTAAACGGGTGTCACTGAATAGATTTATAAACAACCCTCTCTCTCTTTCATCCATTAGTCCATCTTCACAAGCCCAAATCTCTTGCTCAACCACTAATTTAAAATTTTTTTTAAAAATCAATTAATCTTTCTTTGTCAGTGCCACTCATTTCCACTTGTTGTAAGTTACTAGAAAATCCAAAGCTTATGTGTTTTAAGTTTGTATTTTATTTGTATTTTTGTGTTTTTTCCCCCACTATATTTAGCAAAATAGCTAAAAAAGTTTTGTGAATACCTATCTGTCTTACTCTTTTACATGTGTCTCATTCCCTCAATAATAAATGAATACAACAGAGAGCACTGCGTTGTTTACATGGCAATTAGTATCTTGTACTCTCTGATCCGGATTAGCATGATTAGCATGTGCTGGCTCCTGCAGGAATGTTCAGCACAGATAGAGGGTGCTGTGTGCTCAACATAGAGGACATACTTCTGTTCTCCAAAGTCAATGAAAGCACCAACCTTATTTAAGTTACACGCAATTTGTACATCCTGTACTGTGATCCACTGGACCACGTGTTTGGGCTTGTGGATATGTCCAGTTGTTACATTAAAAAGTTGTTGCTACATGATCTAACCATTACAAATACTTTGGTTGGTGTAATGTAATGAAGTCAGGACATTCAGACCAGGACATTCAAGGATTCAGAACATTGAGGGATTTAAGACCACTGTCTGTTTGATTTCACAGAACACTATACAGTATGTTTTAGAATTTAGCAAGACTATAGTTCATTTCCTGAACTGAATACCATGACCAAGTTATAATTGTTTTCATTGACGTCATTGGTTACATTGCCCTTTAAAATACGCCAACAGGTGTTGAGACGCAGACACCTAATAGAAAAAAAGGCTAAATCCAGGCTCAAGGCTTCTCATTACGCCACTAAGCACATTAGCTTGATTGTCTTCTGCTGTCAAAGTATCAGGTCTGAGGGAAGCCCTGTCACAGAAACAGTCATTCAAGGACTATCATTCTGTGGCATACTTTCTTGTGATTCTGTGAATATGCAACAAAAAGGAAGATGACTGTTGAGCATTCAGCATCAGAAAAAGAGAGAGAGGAGGAGGGCGAGATAGAAAGCTAGAAGATGACGGGTGTCTGTCAATGAGGAACAAAAGTTTTGTGGGGTATGTACACAACATATTATCTTATTATCTGACCATAAACATAGCTAAATTATACTGACTTGCTATATATATATCTATATATTGTATCTAACCCTACCTCTAATCACTAGTTCAACCCTAATCCTAACCAACCTTAAGTTTACCATAAATAAAGACAATATAAACTGTTACATTTCTAACATTCTATATGATTCTAAAGTATTCTTTAGTACGCCAAGCTGTATCAGAGCTGAATAAGTTACACAATGTTTTTTTTTGTTGTTCGTTTTGTTTTGTTTGTGATTGAAAGGGTTCTGCCTATCTTTTGTCTATGTAATAAAGTTGTAATTGTGAGTGAACCTGCTGTAATGCAAGACAAATTTCAGACTTTAGTCTGACAATAAAGTTATATTGTATAATAAATGAATAAATTACATTTTAAAATAAAAAAACAGTTATTTTAAATTGTAATAATATTTCACATTACTTTTTTACTGTACAGGTGCATCTCAATAAATTAGAATGTCGTGGAAAAGTTCATTTATTTCAATAATTCAACTCAAATTGTGAAACTCGTGTATTAAATAAATTCAATGCACACAGACTGAAGTAGTTTAAGTCTTTGATTCTTTTAATTGTGATGATTTTGGCTCACATTTAACAAAAACCCACCAATTCACTATTTTTTAATTGGTCTTATGAAGTATTCTAATTTGTTGAGATAGTGAATTGGTGGATTTTTGTTAATTGTGAGCCAAAATCATCACAATTAAAAGAACCAAAGACTTAAACTACTTCAGTCTGTGTGCATTGAATTTATTTAATACACGAGTTTCACAATTTCAGTTGAATTACTGAAATAAATAAAGTTTTCCACGACATTCTAATTTATTGAGATGCACCTGTATTATTGATCATATAAAAGTAGCCCTGGTGAACATAGTGACTTCTTTCAAAAACATTAAAATGAAACATTGAATAAGTATACAATTTTAAATAATGTTTACTTTATGTTTTTACCTAGATCAACAGAAAATGAAGGAAAAGCTGATGTTAAACTGAAACACAGTGGAGCAAACAACAATACTTATGGATTTAGACAAAAACAATGAAAGTCTTGATGAGGACTTTTTCAAGGACTACAACCCCCCAGAAAATGATCTGCTCACTCCACCCAAGCATATAATTTATCTGCTGTTGGCTGTGAGTGTGACAGGAGTCACCCTTTTCGCCATCATAAGACACCTCATCCAGGATCTCATCCATGATCTGGCAGGTATGTAACAAGAAACCTTACAAATGTCTCTTTCACCATAAGCAATTTCAAACCCTCTGTGCACATTATCTGGACTATGAGCTACATGACATGGTGTTCAAAATCCCTGGAAATGGGAAAACACTTGACTGCTCTGCCAAATGCTTAAACCTGCCAAAGATGTTTTGCTGCTCTCCAAGCCTTGGGGTTTTTTTTTTTTTTGGCTGGTCAGCTTTAGAGACCAGCTAAGCCATTTGAATACAAGCCTAGACTCCATCTAACAGCAAAACATCAAGCATTAATAATACATTAATTAAAAAAGACACTAGCACTCTGTTGTACTATAAGAACATCAGCTGAGCGCTCTTACCTGTATTGTGTCTGTAGATTTCCTGTTTGGAGAGCAGCCCGTGGAAGAGCCGGAGACTCTCTGGGAAAGGCGGGATAAGTTTAGGGCAGACTGGATTCCAGAGGCAATGCCTGAGCTGGAGGCCATGATGAGAGATGAGGATATACAAGAACTCATGGAGGGCACTGAAGACATGCCAGCCATCTGGATTATATCGGACAAGTTTCAGCCTCGTGCTCCATCCTCCATTCAAATAGATGTTAGCGGCAGCTAGCATGAAATAAGTACAAGACTCTTCTCCTCTGAATGCTAACACTGATATACTTAAATATTTTTCAAACTAACACCCAAGAATCCATTGTGTCAACTATGCGCACACAGCTTGTTCTTCCTTTTCTTCTAAAAGATCTCATGAAATGAAAATTATTATGAAAACAGCATAACTTACTTTTGTAACAAGACGTTGGTATGTATCAAATGGAAGATGAATTGAAGACAATTTGCTAGTCAGCAGCATGACCTGTAATAGATTATCCTTCCAGAGAGTATCTGAATGGACAAAAAAATTCCATCCATCTAGTGCAAGATGAGTCGTCGTTATTTTTCTCTGTTTTCCCCAGAAGAGAAAGACTGTCATTTTTTAGTGTATATCTGCTCAACGTGAATTCTGTCAACATTTGTGAGAGCAGTTGGATAGAGATGACCTCAAAGCAAACGCACATGGTCTAAATGAAACAAAACTCTAAATTTGAATAAATAAGGTGTTTTAAATTTTTTTACATACTGTTGCACTATATCTATGCACTATATCAATTCAATAGACGTTTTTGTGTCTATGAGCCCTTACAGAAGTTTAACCTGGCACGACCTTCTGTTCTGTGCCAGCTTGGAAAATAAACCTTTGTCTTTACAACATAATAGCATGTAACATTTTCAGTGGGAGATTATCTAACAATCACGCACACTTACTCTCTGAGTGACATGCTGTGATCTGTGACCTCTCTTATGGATTTTGTACTTTGGACACCAAGAATCCTTCACATATTTACAGACGACTGAGAGGAACGCAGCAGTGCGTGCGGACTAAATTCATCATGTTTCATCTACAGAATATCGTTGCCTTCATAATAATCTCTGCCTCTATTTGTCAGGCTCAAGCCGGTGAGTGAAATTAGACACATTTCATGTTGTAGTGTATTCTTTTCAATGTGTTTTTCTTGACTAAATTTGAACTCCTTGAACTGATTTAACATATAAAAGTTGTATAGTAAAGCCTTCATAGGGTGTAAAACATTTACCGACAAAAACCTTTCTGTGATACACTGTTACTCAGGTGGTCAACAGGCATCTTCAGATACAGCTAAAGTCACATTACAGCCGTGGCTGGTGGGACTCACAGCAGTTGTTGTTTTTCTCTTTATTGTCTTCGTCCTCCTCATCGTGCAAAGACTCTTTTTCAAGAAAGACAAGTGAGTCCGGACCTGAAATGTTTCAGGATGATATATACTGTACATTAGATAAAAAAATCTACATAGTTCATAAAACACCTGATTCTTCTTTATTACATAACTTTTGACGGTACATTCAATTTGTTTTGTGTTTTTCTTATAGCAATAGCAATAATACTTCTAGTTAAAAATTTAGATTTTGATCATTTGATTAGTCATGTGATAATATTATGGTGACGATGAGTTTATGGTTCTTTAAACAATTACTGCCATTTAATGACTGTACACTTCAAGATACTGTCAAGGCCATGTTCAGTCACCTGACAAGACACACCTAAAGACATAATGAACAAATGCATATCATGTTTAAACATTAATGTAACAATTTGACAGTATATTTTTATTGTATACAATATATACACTACTGTTAAAACGTTGTGGTCGGTAAGATTTCTAAGAAAATAATACTAATGATATTAATAATATTAATGTATAATGTTACAAAAGATTTCTGTTTCAAATAAATGCTTTTGAATTTTCTATTCATCAGATAATCTTGAAAATATACAAATTAATATATTTGTCAACACAGGAATAAATTACATTTTAAAATATATAAAAAAAAGTTTCCACTTTCCAAAAAAAAAAAAAAATCTAGTCAACCCCAAACTTTTAAACAGTATGAGTACAAGATACTTTTCTTTTCAAAATTGTGACCCTGGACCACAAAAGCAGTCATAAGTAGCACGGGTATATTTGTAGAAATAGCCAACAATACATTGCATGGGTCAAAATTATAGATTTTTCTTTTTTGCCAAAAATCATCAGGATATTAAGTAAAGATCATGTTCCAAGAAAATCGTAAATATATGAAAACGTAATTTTTGATTAGTAATATACATTGCTAAGGACTTAATTTGGACAATTTTAAAGGTGATTTTCTCAATATTTAGTTCCCTTTCATGGGAACTTCGAACTGCGTCCTCTAGGGGTCGCTATGGGGAACGCTATATACTATAGTATAAATAGGTGCTGGGAGCACACATCATTCTCTTCTTCGTCTTCATTTACTATTTTGTTTGAAGCGTGCATTTCTGTGGTTAGAGCGATCTCTATTCATCTCATTATGGCGAGCACTAGCAAAGATTCCAAGCCTTGCGCTCTACCCTGGGCCCAGGAGTCTGGCCCTAACAGGTAAGTATTTTGGGGTATGTAGCCTAGGCCTTTGGCCGTAGGGAATAACGTCACTGACAGCCGTCTAACGTCCCAGGGGCAACTCCCATAGCAATATGGTAGAGTTGGTACTTAGTGCTCGCCATGGTTCTGGCATGCACTCCCCTCAGCATGGTGGCGTGGGTATACCGTTCCCCATAGCGACCCCTAGAGGACGCAGTTCGAAGTTCCCATGAAAGGGAACGTCTCAGGTTAATTATGTAACCATAGTTCCCTGAGTAGGGAACGAGACACTGCGTCCTCTAGGTTTCTTGCCATGCTGCGGACGCAAGCTTCAGACGAAGAAGTGAATGATGTGTGCTCCCGGCGCCTATTTATACTATAGTCGCACCGGTAGTGACATCATGGCTGTCGCCGGCCAACGAGTTGGTGTTTTTTTCAATGTATGCTTCAGACACGGGTCACGACGAGGCGTTCCCCATAGCGACCCCTAGAGGACGCAGTGTCTCATTCCCTACTCAGGGAACCATGGTTACATAAGTAACCTGAGACGTTTTTTTGCATCCTCAGATTCCAGATTTTCAAATAGTTGGAAAAATCTTGGCCAAATATTATCTTATCTTAACAAACCATACATCAATGGAAAGCTTATTTATTCAGCTTTCAAAACATTGACCCTTGGTTTTGTGGTCCAGGGTTACAATTTTAAACTGCTTTCTACTTTGAATACATGATTAATCAACAAATAATTAAACTTAAACTTTTCAATTCATCACCCCATCCCATTTCTGAGTTTGTATGAGTTTTATTAATTATTAAACTGTCTAGTCCCAGTGTAAGGCGACTCTTTAAACATAAAGCATTTCATCAATGTGTATCTCTCTTTGCAGAGATGAGCTAGAAGAAAGGCATTCATTTTATGAAAACAAAGCAGCTGATCTGGAGGCAAATGAGGAGACCAAGCAGACCACTTTCTAATGAGAAGAACAGATGATCACAGTCCTGCAGCACACAACTCTTTCTCTCTCTGGAAATTATGCCACAACTTTGTGCAGAGTAATTATAATACTATCTTATGTAATATATATTTTTAACGTTAATTTTGGTCTTTTTGTTTTAGTCTTCATAAGTGTTGTTCCTCACATCATCCACTAGATGGAGCAGACTTCACCTAGTCACAGCTTTAAACTAAAGTTAAAATAAAAAAAGGTTCAAATAAAGTGGTGCTCTCTCTCTCTCTCTCTCTCTCTCTCTCTTTTAATTAATTTAGATTTTTTTTGGCATATTCTCAATACACGTTTTACTACTTTGCTGTTAGGGTAGTGAGAACATTGGAATAGAAGAGCACACGCTCAGTGATTCACATCATGCACATAATGCTCTGATTAACTGGCTTTTGACTCATATGACATGTCTGGGTTCTGCATGCATATATGCTAAATGGACATGGGTATGAGATCCACTACTCATTTTGACTGGCAGTTTGGACATGTTAAATGCTTCCAGTCAAATGATGTAACACAGTTTTACTTTTGAAACCATTTGCTCGTCTCGGGGGATTGATTATATGATGAAAATATCATTTGCAGAAAAAATGGCCAGGTGTCCAAATGTGTTAATGATGGAGACCATTATAGTACAGCGTTAAAGCTGGCGTTGCCTAAATGAACAATCTGATTAGTAAGACTATTGAGCTGTTAGTGATGATGTAATAAACTCCCAAACGCATGCTTTTTATATGGGTTAAAGGGAAACGCTTCCAGTTTTACACTCTTAATGTGAACTTAAGAACTGCTGGTATTTCGTAACATTTTAATTAGACAGCTGATACTGTTGCCCTGGCTGCATGTGCTTCTCAAGGTTTCCCATACATGGGAAACAGTTTAGCTGAAACAGTGCTGATGAGTGACAGTAACTAAGCCTACAGTCAGCAGCAATAAGTGAAGCATGAAACCAGAGAGAGAGAGAGAGAGAGAGAGAGAGAGAGAGAGAGTGAGAGAGAGGGAGAGAGAGAGAGACTTCTTTCTTCTCTTTCTCATTCACCACTGCTGCCTTGGAATTTTTATTTGGTTGTTTTTATTCTGGTTCCTGAGCGACGTCATCTTTGCTCCATATGCATCACTTGGGAGCTGGTGACAGATGGATTATTCATTCTCTTCTAACGTTCATTACTGTGAAGCTCAACAACAAAACCCCAGATAAAAACATTCTGAAGTCAAAGGGAAAG